AGAATCCGTTGAACAGATTTCTTGCTCATCCCACCAACTTTGGCCACTTCTTTAGTCGTTAATCTGGGATCCATGTCGATGCTCCCCTTAACAGCCCTTTCTGTCCTCTCCGATGGATCAGGACGACCCGGACGCTGCTCAGTTGTTTCCTTGCCGTGTTTCCTGAACTGCACGATGATTCTGTTGACTGTCGAAAGCGGGATTCCCAAATTCTGCGAAATTTGCCGCTGACTTATTCCACCACCTGCTTGACCAATTATCCTTCCTCTAACAAAATCTGACAATTCGAGAGAACCTTGAAGTTCTAGGAATGTTGTAGCACAAGATAATTAGTGTGCGGACCATTTTCATTTATATAGTGCTCTGTGAACACAAATTAGCTAGCATAAATCAGTTAAATGACGAAAAATTAGATGTCTATTTTCTTGTGACCACTCAGTGTACACATCTTTAAGGAAATTCCTTTCTTCATCTTCAGGTTTTATAATCCTATCATCATAATAATTTCATATTCTTCACTTTTTGCTTTAATTTTATCTGGAATTTGTTGAATTTTCCGGATTTTATCAATATCAACGTTTCATCTGCATATCGTTGATTATTTACATTCATTCCTCCTATGGTTAATCCTTCCATTCCTTCTATATCTCTGATATTCACTTCAGAATATATGTTAAAGAGATAAGGGGAGATCACACATTCCTATCTCACACTTTTCTTATTGTAATACATAACGATAACTCATTCGCGGGTTTTATTGCTGACATATGGTCCCGGTACAGTTTGGTAATAAGTGTAATCCAAACCAATGACCTCAATATATCCTATCAGCTTTGAATTGTGGAAATTGTAAATGTCTTAGCGTAATCTATAAAAAAGGCATAAATGTTTTTCTATACTTCTGATATCATATTCTTGCTGAATATTGCTTCTCACGCTCCACTGTTCGGTCTAAATCCAAATTGTTCCTCAACTACCTCCTTGTATATTTTATATTTAATTACGCAACCACAGTTAATAATTTCGGCCAACCTCCACTTCCTCAGAACTAAATATAATATAACTCTTAATAATTAGAGAATAAAGATCCATACTTTAAGATTTGAGTAAGTGCTGTTGTTTTCTTATCTGTCATAATATCCTTCTTCACAAGTTAAAAAGATATGCTTATTATTGAATTTGATAACATGGTCTGTCGCATTTCGGAATTTTACATCTTTGCTTTTAAAGTATCAGATTTATTAAATTCAACAATTCGTTTAGGAAGAATTTTAGATCAGAAGTATAGGAGGCAAATTAAAAGTGGTTTTTATGGCTAGTATAAATGTTGATAGATATTGATCTTTATATTTATTGATACCATAATTTTAAAAATTCACTATTTTATAATATCGCTTTATCAAGAGTTCGATGAAGAAAAAAATTTGCATAGTAGGTTTTATTTTATTCGTACTTGAGGAGTTGCAAAAAGGCAATAGAACAAACTTGGATAGAAAGAATCGAAACACAATATATTGTATAATTTAAGTGAGATGTGTTAACACTTTTGTCAATTAATGTAATTTTAACTTTAACATAGGTTTCTATTGTTTTAGCAGTGTTTCATATGTTTTTATTTTATTTACATAAACTGGTACATGTGTGCCTAATATACTCTTGGTACATACAGATAACAACACTAACACTTATGAATTTGGCGGACGAGAGTTTATCCCGAGTAGGAGTGGCTGAAAGATTGTTAAGTTAAACAAAAAGGACAAACACGGATACAAACTAATGAATTGATTCTCTGCAGTTATTATAACAGAACAATGATAATTAACAATGGCTAAATATTTTGATACTGTGTTTTTATTGTTATTTTTTCTAATTTTTGTTTTTCACAGGACACTCAACGTTTCGCTTCATAGCTTTTTCAGGAGCGTTCCACTAAAGCACAAACGGTAACAAACAGAACGAATTTTCAATCGGTTTAAATAATAAATTATATTCGACTACAAAAATCAATTAACGTCTAAATATTACTTCACCATCAACGATAGTTTTTATCTTACCATTGTTGATTTCCTAGACCTGGCCTCCATAATATAAAACATAGCAGCAACACTGGCAGGAGCTCCATATACTTTGGTATGAAAAATTAAGGGCGATGTTATTGAAGTAGGCGACAAACTGATATCTGCCTTTAGCGTCTGTAGTATTTAACCAAGAACGATGAAACCTGATATTTGTTTACAAAACACTGGGATTTTTCGGTTGAAGTAGATGTATCAAGGCTAACAATGACGTAGAGAGCGTGTTGATGTTGAGAATTTATCGAAACTTTAGGTTTTCTCCTGGTTTATGAAAATATATTTTAACTGATTAGGAGATAATATTATAGAACAACTTGATTTGATTTTTGATTGATTGGAAACTTTATCAAACAGTTAAAAAACGCTTACAATACACATTATGAATTATGGTCCACAAGATTTACTTGAGGGTGGATCATGTTTACTTTATTAGGTTAACTGTAATAAATATTGTGTTATAAATAAATACAATAGTAATCATACATAGATAGAAATTAAACATACAATATTTCTAAGTACATATTAAAATACTTACATTATAATGATTTATATTTTAAAATTATTTATACAATATATAATTTTCAGGTTCATCAATATTATTTATCCATTTTTTCAATGCTGCTTTAATATATATATATCTTTTTATCTAAAATGTAATAATTATCTGTGTATATATGTGATAAAGGTAGGCTTGTATTCTTTCATTGGAGAGCTCATTGTTAGTCCTCATTGCTAATTATTGTGTACACAAAAAATTAACTCTTTAATATGTATTTATATAAAATTCTTCAGTATGTAAAGCATTTTTTTTCTATTAAAAATACAGAAAATTTATTGCTTTTGGGAAGGGTATGTAAACGCCCTCTCCAACGCAAAATATTCATGCACTCACATCATAAAGATGTATTCTGATTGGAGAAGAACAAAAATTTAAAGAAAGGAATATCTCATATTAGTGCTCTTGTAAGTGTTTGTTTAATTATTAACCTTTTTAGTGCTTCTTTAACTATTAGCCTTTCTTACACTGTAAAAAAAATTGCTGTAAATTGTACTGTATGTTACTGTATATTTTATAGCAACTGACTACATATGAAGGATACAATGTGTTGGGCCCGGCATGGCCAGGTGGATAAGGCGCTCGACTCACAATCTGAGGGTCGCGGGTTCGAATCCGCATCCCACCAAACATGCTCGCCCTTTCAGCCGTGGGGGCGTTATAATGAGACGGATAATCCCACTATTCGTTGGGAAAAGAGTAGCCCAAGAGTTGGCGGTGGGTGGTGATGACTAGCTGCCTTCTCTCTAGTCTTACACTGCTAAATTAGGGACGGCTAGCGCAGATAGCCCTCGTGTAGCTTTGCGCGAAATTCCAAAAACAAACAACAATAATACAATGTGTTACTGTTATATTTAGAGTAGCTCACACTGTGTTTCAGCTTTACTGTGATTTACATTGCTGGCTATTGTATTTTTTGCAGTAACATGACCTGCTATTCTAATTACAGTAATTCATAGGAATTGGTTTATAAACATATGTTAATTTGTTTTCAAGAAAAATATAGAAAAGCTTTCAAATTGGATTTTTCATATATACTACCTCACCTCCCCTTCCCCGCAAAGCCCACACCCTCACCCCCCCAAAAAAACACACCTCATGAAGCAGAAAAAAGTCATAAATATCTGTCCATACCTTTTATCATCTTGAAAAGACAAATTTAGAAAAGCTTTCAATTTTTTTTCAAGATGATGAAAGGTAGGGTTATGACTTTCTTTTTTCTGCTTCATGAGGTGTGTTTTTTGGGGGGTGAGGGTGTGGGCTTTGAGGGGAAGGGGAGGTGAGGTAGTATATATGAGAAATCCAACGATCAGAGTTGGTTTTTTCCTTTGCCAGAGTCAGATTCAGAATAGTTCTATAGCTATCTTTATCGAACAAAGCTCACTAAGAACCCGTTCCAAATGCTCTACTTTAGAAGGATGTGTGTGCGTGTTTAGAGAGAAAAACTAAATTGGGCTTATATCTTAAAGCAAGTTTACTTTCATAAACATCTAGGTATTCCTTTCTTAATATAGGCTCATAAATATTCATTTTGATCCAGAACAAGGCTCAACTGGCAATAGCGTCCTTCTCGCGATTTATCTATTGTTCCAGAATTATCTTTTGCTACAGCAGAAGCATTTGTGAAATTCCGAAAAAAATCTCGCCGAGAAAAGCATTTCAAAAGGTGTCCGATATTACTGGGAAAAGTATATCCTGAACATCAAAGGTCTGTAAAACACAACTTGTAAATGCTCGCTGTCCTTGTTTATGACACGCATCTGATTTAACACAATGATATAGCTTCATTGGTAGGCAATAAACTAATCTGGATCTAAAGAAGCCGAGGCCAATAGCTATTATAGATTTATAGCTCATGTCGTAAACTGAAACTAATATTTGCATTGGGTTTGGAAATAAATAAATAAATTTCCATTTCAGATTATCTAGTCTGACGTCATAAGTCGTGCGAGAGTTTTGCAAGTTCAGCAAGTACACCGTCAATATGTTTGTTTTCAAATCTGAACGTTCAACAAGTAATTGACTCTGGAAAAGACCAAAAACTTTTTAATCCAGTATGTGTTAGGATATAAGACAATTATTGGAATTCTTAGATTTATAATGCGACTATTTATAATCAAAGTTTCGAGCTATCCTGTGATGGTTATGTTTGAATGGAATGTCACCAGTAGGGCTATTGTGAAAATTTAATTGTTACATCTTCTCGCACTTATAAATTAGTAAACGTGATTTTAACATTTTCAAAATTTCTAACTTTGTTCAGTTCAATATTGTTAACTGGCTCTCTGGTTAAGAATCATAATTTAAATTCAAATCAATCAGAGAATTAGAAATCTTCTTGAAATGTAAAATCTGTGTGTCATTGATTTTAGGATAATGCTGCAACATCAAAATTCAAATGCATGGACTTCAAAATTCACTTCAGTTCTGTGGAGCCCCCACCCCCTCCCCAGTGGCAAAGCGGTATGTCTGCGGACTTACAACGCTAGAAACCGTGCAGAGCACAGATAGCCCATTGTGTTTCTTTGGGCTTAACTTCAAACAGACAGTTCTGTGGAAATCTTAACTTCGAAGTCTAAGAAAGTTGAGTGTATTACAGCTGAAGTATGTATGTTTGCCAATTTTGTAACTACTCTTCTGAGTCTCCAAAGGCTTTTACATTACATAGAAATGTGCCAATTTTTTTGCTTTCCTTCTGGTTTTCCTGAATGTTCACGTACATTCCGGACCAATTCTATATTTAAATCACATATATAAAGGGATCATAGAAAGGTGCAGATGCAAAAGAAAATCATAAGGCATAATAATATTGTTCTAAAATGCCCTGTCAGTTCATGCACAGCTGACAGCAAACGTCTGATAGATTTTCTTTCTCTCCTGAAGTAACATATTGATGAAGGTGTGAATATTATGTGCCCCTTTAGAAGATGCAGTAAATCATTTTATGTCAAATCATCATTTTCATCTCATATATCACTAACACACAAGGACTGATCAGAATGTCAGTTGTCCAAGTCTACAACTGACGTCTCACAGAGATTAAGCTATGAGTCTATGGCACAAAAATGTGGTGCCGAGGTTGATTCAGATAACACAGCAATCATTGTTCAAGATTCACATGAAGATCTGAATGATGATACTGATTTTCACAATGTTGATAATAACACATTTTTGAACAACTTAGCATTGTTTTACTTGAAATTACAAGCAAAGATATTATTACCAGCCTCAACAATACAAAATATTATGGAGGAATTTCAAGGAGTTCACAGTATTGGACAAATGCATTTGTTTTCAAAACTTAAGGAAAAGCTGGTACAGTTAAACACTGATGAAGATTTAATCACTAAATTGCTGAATGACATTTCAAGGAGTGATTTACTCAAGGCTTGCAATGAAAGTACACTAAGATCTGATTAGTCAAGAGAGTCATATTTCAAACAGTAAGCGATTTTATCAGTACATACATATAGATGAAACTCTAAAGGCTATTTCGAGACAAAAGTCTTTAATTAGCCAGTACGAACTCAGCAGAAATCTCAAGTTGTTGGACGATGTATTTGAAGACTTGAAAGATGTAAGTTTGTTTTCTAACAACTCGCTATTAAAACATTATCCATCTGTACTATCCATACTGCTTTATCAAGGTGCTTTTGAAGTTGCCAACCCATTAGGTTCAGAGAAGAATAAGCACCAAATTCTTGCAGCATATTTGACACTTGGAAACATTTTACCTTACAACAGGTCGAACATTGACCATATGGAACATGTTATGTTTTGTAATGAGGAAGAATATAAAACATATTGTCTTTAAACGCCTCATAGAAGATTTTTAAAAGCTTGAGAATGAAGATATCATGTTTGATAATGAAAAGCAGATGAGATATATACGTTTTGCAATTTCTGGAGACAATTTAGGATCTCATGCAATTGGAGACTTCGTGTAAAATTTTAGCAAAAAGTCATAATTTTAGTCGTTTCTGTTCCACACAACACCAGAGAAAACTGGGAAAACAAGAACTATTCAAAGCTACAAAGACACGTTGGATTCAATGTCCAAAAGTCCACAAGTTGACACATATGTAATAAAATTTTACTCTGTGTTCAACAAATTAATGCATTTCTATGTATGCCAACCAGGCTTGCTACCATGTTTAGGCCATGATTCATTTGAAAGAGTGGCTTCTGCAGACCTTGCTTTGTATCTGAAATATTTTTTTAAAGAAAAGAAATATATCACATATGAATATATCAACAGAGCAATAGATCTGTTCAAATATTTGGTTGTGATGCAAACAGTAAACTCTATATAGTGAATCTAAATGCTGAGAAGTTAGGAGGGCATGTTGTGCAAAATTGGTGTTTGCTTTGACTTTTGCCATTGTTCATTGGTGACAAAATATAAGATCCTTTGGAAAATCAAGTGTGGAATTTCTATCTTCATCTCAGAAACATTGTCGACATGATATGTGCACCAAACATTTCTGCAGATTAAGTAGCATAGCTTAAGGTTGAGATTGAAGATTATCTTCATGGC